TTTGAGTTCCTTTGAATAGTAGTGAAAATGGAAAAAAAAAAAGTGAGTTGTCTTTTCCTCTTTTTGGAACATTTAACTATTTTTACATAAAGATTTTTATGGACAGTTTGTATATCTAAGTAATTTATTAAGACTCTAGTTGTAATATTTCACACACAAAAAAAGTCATAAATGTGGCAACACGGGGTCTAGTGAAGACCAAAGGCTTTGGGTTCAAATATAACAACTGATGTCTTCTAGCTCCACGGTCTAGGGAGAGTTATTTATCCTTTGTAAGGGCCACCTTCCTCTTTATATTAGGGATTATAATGGCACCGACCTCACCAAGTTGAATCGTATAATGTATAAGAACTTCTAGGTATGGTACCCATCAAATGGTAAGTAGTCAGCAAGTTATCAAAGATCATAACAGTGATAAGCGTCTCCTTAGATTGGGATTTATTCTTGTTCATATATATACTTTAAAAAAATTTTTTTTTCCCATTTTTTAAAATTGCTTAGATCAGGATTCTGCTAATTATGGCCCACATTGGCCTTTTGCCTATTTTTGTCAATAAAGTTTTATTGGAACACAGACACATCCTTTTGATTCACCATGTGTGTCTGAGGATGTTCTTGTCCTGCAGGGGCAGAGCTGAGTAGTTACAACGGACACCAGATGGCCCACAAAGCTGAGAATATTTACTAATTAGACCTTTATGGAAAGATTGGTGGCTTCTGGCTCCAATCATTAAAGTCCAAAATGTTCTTTAAAAATAATTCCAACAATATGGAAGAATTTAACTCATTCCTCTTTATCCTTTGAGAACTTATTCTTTGTAAAAAAAAAAAATTTAATGTTTCTAAAAAAAAAAATGAGGGTTTTTTTCTTTCTGGTTTAGAAAGTCTTTTTTCTTCTGCTTACTATTTTCTCTCTTGACCCCCAAAATGGAAGAATGCTTTACACCTCTACTTTGCCACGGCTGCCCATTTTTTCCCTCTGTAAATCAGAACATATGTTCATTATATGGCACAAATCTCCATGTCCAATTAATTTTTATACAGCTGTGTAACTGCCACTCAGATGAGGATCTAGAACATGACCAGCACCCTAGAAAATCCCTTGCAGCCACTATTTCCCCCACAGTGACCACCACTCTGCCCCTCATGAACACGGACAGGTTTTGCCTCCTTTTGACCTTTCTTTTAGGACGTTAATCTATAGTAATGCATATAACTAAAGCGTATCGTTTATTTAGGACTGCATGGCGTTCTATGAACATACTGGAATTTATTTATACATCTGCTGTCGATGGGCATTTGTGTTATTTTGCAATTTCGTCTGCTTTGAACATTCGTGTACATTTTTGGTGCAGGTAGGCACTTAATTGGGAATATACCTACAGATGAAATTGCTGGGTCACAGAGTGTGCATATACTCTGTTCCAGTAGACACTTCCAAACAATTTGCAGGGAAAGTACAACCCGTTTACGTTCCCATCAGCAGAGCGTGTGGTTCTGGAAACTTCTGAGTGCCCTGTTTCTCCCTTCTAGGAGAGAGGCAGAGTGGGCTTGTATAACTGATTGCTAGGTGTGTGCATTATGGCACTGGTTGGATGTTCTTGTACGATCACCGCTCATAGTTTAGAGACCCCCAATTCCTTCTCCATCTTCCTTCCTTCTTGTGTAGAATGGAGCAAGAGGACTGTGGTGTGTGCCCCACACACTTTCCTGAGTTGACATCTAATCTAACCATCTCTGTCCACTCTCCCACTCTTCTCTGGCAACGGTCTCACCCCTATCTGGTACTTCAGACTTGGGAGAAGAAAGAGGAGGCCAGAGGAACACCGCTGCTCCTAATGGAGGAAGAGGGCTGTCGTCAAAGCCTTCTCAGAGCTCTCTTAAGTTGTAGCCCACCCTGTCCACCAACAGACTGGTCTTCCTTCCACTCTGGTTATGGACAGCAGTGACAGCAGATACAGGGGACTTCCTAGAAAGGTCTATACCCCTTTCTGTTCTTCTCCATTCTCCTTCTTCCTTCTCTTCTTCTCTCCTTCCCCTCCCTTCTGCTTTCCTTCCTACCTCTCCTCCTTTTTCTCCTCCATGCCACAACCAAGTCTTGAGTGCCCTTTAAGTCCTTGCCCTGTCCTTGAGGATGAGGAATGTGGGTACAATGGACAATGGATGGGATCCCCTTTGCTTAAGGACTCCACAGTCTCGGGTAGCCTTTTGACCACCCTTCAATAAAAAGGAAACCAGAAAGTTGCAATACCATTTTACTTGCTCAAAGATCTTCCTCAACCTGGCATGTGGGACTATTGCTGTCCTTTTCTATACCTGCCCCCCAGCGCCGGCCCCTTATGTCTATGGCCTTTTAAGACACAAGGACCCCCTTGTGGTATTAAAAAGCCCCCTACTCATACAAGATGAGTCATAGGATTTTCAGGACTATTGATGGGGGAAATGAGCAGTTGTCAAAAAGTTACTGTGAATTCATTTATGCTCACAAGTGCATATGCCTGCTAAGCCATGGCACCTTGGCCATCCGTACATGTGTGAGGCACATGCATTAAGCAGACTCCACAGGTGCTTGGCCCGCACAGGATTTCCTGGACATGTTGCCATTTTTCTGCAGTTTTACTCTAGAGAATTATTTCTCCCCACCCCCACCATCTGGTGGAGAATTGCGACCATGTATGTTGTCTGATGTTTGATGGGGCTGCACCATCTCTACACTCTTCTTCCTTCCCCTTCTTCAGGAACACACAGGCTGGGGACCTGTGTGCATGCAAGTCCCCAAGTCCACAGTGCACCATTGATCGTGTGGCCTGTGAAATCTCAGCCAGATGGCGACCAGCAGCACTGCCTCATGCAGTGCTCCGGGCTCTGTCCACAGAGCAGAGACCTCAGCTGGAAGGTGGTAGTAAAACACTGATGCCAAAGACAGCCTGTCTCTGCATCTGACTGGATACTTTTAAGCTTGGCCCTATTTTTATTTTGCTTTTGTGACTTCTCAGCATTATACAGAAATGGAATATTCTGACACTTAAATAAGGGAGATGCATCTTCCAGATTTAGTCTATTTGTGTCCAGATTCTTGTACTATCACCACCACCGAAGGTTTTTTTTATTTTTTCTCTCCAGCAAATTGTTCATTGACCCTCATAGGTCATGGATACAGAGGTCCTAGGCTCTGGAATGCTATTTCCAGATCCAAGGTTACCTGGCTTTGAGTCAAGAGTGTAAAATTAACAAAGGTAAGGCACCAAGGTCAGCAATCGAACGATCTAGCTGACCTCACTGAGGCCCACAGACTCCATCCCAGACCTGACAGCAGTTTCCTTCCAGGGCAACTGGACAAAGAGAACACGTGGTGTCAACCCTGCAGACCCCAAACTGTCCTCACTCTGGGGACCACAGTTCAGAGCTCACAGTGACCGAATCTGTTATCGTCCAGAGCATGAGCCTGTCATTGACGGTGCCCTAGATTTCGACAAAGAAAATTGTTCCTTTGCCATTTCCAATTCCATTCGGGCTTCTGAGAAACATGAAGTGCCCAGTCCCTGGGCAAGACATGAAAACAGGATTGAAACAGGGTCAGCTCCCCTCTTGGCGTTCACAGCAAAACCGTAATGGGATCAGCAGCGACATCATCCTGACGTCTTTCAGCTATAGATGGAAGTTGGTTCCCTGTGGGGAACCACCAAAATCTATGCTAGGATCTTTGATCGGAACTCGCTTGCCCTGAGAGTTGGCCTTGATTTCTGGGCTTCAGAAATTATTCCTGACCCCTCTGCTTGGGACTTCACAGATTGCTTCCTTTGTCTTATGCTGATGCTCCAGACAGTGTATCAGAAGCTGATCAAGGAAAGGAGCCTCGTGTCATCTACAGTCAGCACAGTTGTATGGATCCTCTATGTGCTGAGCCCTGTGCCAGGGACTGGGGATATAAGAAGAATATGGCAGGATGCCCACCCTGAATAAAGTCCCCAAATGGGGGGATAAAGTCACATCCCAATGGAGAAGACTTAGAAGCAAGTGGCAACTATACTGGAGTGCGACAGATTCTCTGGTGATGAAAGACCCAGGATGTTGTAGAAGGAGAAACCGTGATCTCGTACCCATGTCCTTGTGCATTCAGGGAAGACTTCCTGCAAGTGGAGACCTCTGAGCTGCCCTGAAGAGGTACCCACTGGCCAGTTTTCAGCATGATACCACACAGCTGGTACATCCAGAGTAAACTGTCATGGGCCCTGGTGACAGGGATGACAATTCACAATGGATCCTTACCAGTGATCTCCTGCGGATAGAGTTCTCTGTAGTTACCATATATCCTGAGAGCAGGAGAGTTTCATCCGCATGGCTTGCCTGCCCCCGAGACCGGGACAGGACTCCAACAGTGATTCTGTCACCGGGATGGAATTTACTGGAGACCTCTGCGCTGTAGCCCCATCACTCAAATCTGCCACCCCACCCACCTGTAACAGCCTGCCTTACATTGTGTGTGGGGAGACGGCCACTGAAGAATCTTGGATGCAGCAAGCATACAGCTGGTCTCATCTGGTGTCCCCCCCCTACCCCCACCCCCTGGACACCCTAGCTCTTCACAAAAGCTAGGTCCTTTGTGATTGGGCCCCCTTCAATCACTTCTTCCTCCCTGCAAAATTCTGCATCTCTCTCTGATGTCCAGGTGCCCCCCGTTTCTCCTGCCTCCAGCCCCATGCACAGGCATCTCATTTTGCCGGAATTACTGGTTTGCAGGATGCTCCCTCCCAAAGGACCCAGAGTTAGCGGCACCCAAAGACTACGTAGGATTTGTCTCTACATGAAAATACAGGGATGCCGCCAACCACGTGCTAAATGTTTTTTTAATGCTTTATTTTTGAGACAGGGAGAGACAGAGCACGAGCAGGGAAGGGTCAGAGGGAGACACAGAATCTGAAACAGGCTTCAGGCTCTGAGCTGTCAGCACAGAGCCGGACGTGGGGCTCAAACTCACCGACCGTGAGATCATGACCTGAGCCGAAGTCAGACGCTTAACCAACCGAGCCACCCAGGCACCCCATCTAAATGCTTTAAAAATGTTCTTTTCTCAGTGAATGAATGAGCAAGCAAATGAATGAGGGAGCAAGGCAAGACCAAATGAAGCCTTCGGAGAACCAAAGAGCATCAGCTTCCTTGACTAGAAATGAAAGAGGGCATCACACTCCGCTTCCTCAAACCACACGCTACATCCTTCCATAACGTCATTGCCTAGGGGCAGGTGCTTTGGCCCGACACCAAGAAAAAGCAGTATGTGGATATGTGCCAGCGAGGGTCTGTGTGTGGGCTGGTATCACAAGATGTACTGCAGCATATTTTCAGGCCCCGGACAAAGCCTAAAGGGTACAGGTCCAAAATGAACTTTTTACAAGCGACCTCGGGGGAGAAATGCTCAGGAAGTCAGAAGGCTAGGCACACCACATGCTATAAAATCTCTTCCCGAAGCAATCCCCTCAGCTCTCAGACAGTCTTATGGAGCAGAATGAAATCTAATCTGAAAAGCTACTTCAGTCCCTCTGGAAGTGCAGAGGAGTCTGAGGACAGATAAGGAACTGATTTCTCTTACTTTGGACATAACAGATTCCTCTTGGAGGGCGAAGCCTTCTCTCTGGACGTGCCCTCAGGGGATCACAGACTCCACGAATTGGCAAGGCAGAGGGCGGGGGGGAATGAGATCCACCAACACCCCCAGCTGCCCTGGCTTCATGCAGGAACTAACAGGATCTCCAACGATTCCTGAGCAATGGGTGTGCACGTGACCTCAATGAATTCCAGCACAACTCCTAGGAGATGCTGTCACGTGCTGCTTGTAGGCGCTAGAGAGAGTGCGCAGATTCCTTTCTGTGCGTCTGTAAAATGGGTGTGGTGATGGCTCCAAACACATTGGGTTGACATGAGGGTTGCGTGGGTTAATTTTGGAAAATCCTGGCATAGTGCCTGAAATGGAAGGGAATTTCTGTAACTTTGTTAAATATGAGAATAGGAAGATAGGTTAAGGAATGGATGAGTGGATGGGTAGGCAAGCAGAGTACCGGGACCAAGGTCAAATGGGTCCTAAGTGCTGAAGGCAGTCCAGTGCGGGCAGTCTCCACCCGACAGCATGCCTGGACTTGCTCCTCAAACCTGTCAGGTAAGGGCCCTCCCTCGTGAGGCTCATCCTAGTGTTTTCTACATGCAACGTTCTTTCTTGTGCCTTTGGGGAAGGTGTCTATTTGAATCTGCAGTGCTTCCTTTTTGCAAACTAGAAACGAGCGTGTACCTTTTGAGTGAGCGGCTGGATACATACTCAGCAGCCTCACAGCATCACCCAAGCAGCTGATGGAAGCAAGTCTCAGGCATATGCCTGATTCTGTCTCAATTCTTCTCACCTGTTCCCTTTTAGATTTTACAGCTTTCTGGCCCTTGCCTCTTAAAGCCCCACCACTCTGCCTTTTCATGGCAACACTGGGAAGGGAGAGATCTGGAATGGCTGCTCTGTGTATGGGCCTCACAGCCTTCCTCAGGGTGGCACAGAACTCAGAGGTTGGCAGGGATTACCTGTGGCAGACAACATCGTGCCCCCTGAAGACAGATACAGGAAGAACTTTCGAACAGGTGTGACGTACGTGGATGCAGAGGTGTTCTCAGGTGCTCGTGAGCCTCCTGCCCCTAAATGTATATATGCGGGGGGGGGGGGGGGGGGTAGGTTGCAGCGTCACGCAGGGACCTGTCCTCTCAGGTCCGAGGAGGACAACACTGGAGCCTGGCTGCAAACCCACAGTGGCCCAGGCTCTCTGTGCTCCCAGGAGAGCACTTAGCTTTTGTCTTCCCAGCAAGAATGAGTCTGCTTCAGGAAACAGATTTAATTGTCCCACTTACCAGCTCCAGCTCACAAGACCACATTGACAAAGATCGCGGCCTGTTTGTAATGGAAGAAACGGACGGCGGAAGGAGCATCTTAGAGCTGTTCCTTCGAAAAATGACCCTCGCCGCTTCACCCCAGCTGAGGACATGCGTACTTCTCAGCCTCTTACTCCCAAGCCCACGGCAAGTTCCCTTTTGATCTGTGTTTCCTCTATTTATATGGCAGAAAAACTCACCCGGCAGATCTGAACATGTTTGCAGTGCTGCCTAATTTAAGCCCCGGGATGCAGGGAAAGAAATAGAAACAGAAAATAGGGATTCAGTGCTTGCTGGGTGCTGCAGGCCATGAAAAATATCAAAATCATGAAACACGGTCCCTGATCTCCCCCAAGGAGATTACAATATACTTGAGTAAATTAAAAACGAAATAAGAAAGTATTTGAACTACAGTTCAGTGAACTAGTAGAAGGCCACAAGGCAGGAAATGAGTAACTGCAAAATGACTGGAACAGGCTGTAATTGGGATTGAGAAATGTGCGTCTGCCCTCCTTTTGCAACACGGGTCTGGTTTACCGAGGTGACTTATTCAGAGATGTTTGGTGAGAAGGCAGTCTTTGTATTTACATCGTGAAAGGAATCTAATGTTTCTTCCTCACCCAGACTGACCCTGTTCTGGGCATACAAAACATGGACGGAAACACGGTGAGAAGACTCACTTTTGTGTCCTCGCAAACTCCAAAGGGAGAGGAAAGTCAACAGCACGCAGTAGTTTCGAAGGGACGGCACTGGTGTTTTTGAGAAGAGGAAGCAAAAACGTAGAAGGGTTTGGATGAGGAGTGGGGGTGTCGGCTTAGACGATGAGATGATGATACACTGGATCCCGAGACAAATGTGATCATGTGCAAAGTTCTGGAGGCTGTCGGAAGGAAAGGAATTGAAACTGAGCTGTCCCTTCCCATAACTTAGCCTGCACCACTGGTGAGCCAGCACCCTTCCTTGTAGGTGATGAACTTACAAAGGGATAGGTTTTCTGTTGTCTCCCCTCAAAAATGCAATGCTTTTGTAGCCCTGATACCAAAAGGTATACATGCCTCTATGGTTGCGGTACAATGGAGACTAAATCAGCAGCAGCCCCCTTGGGGCTACAAACACAGCGCAGGATTAGAAGTAGGCGCATGCGCACCCTTCCGGGCGTGCACACGCATACGCCCGCGCATGCACATCTGCACATACGTAGGCACGCATGCATATGCACATGCACGCTTGCACAAAGCACAGTAAAGAGCAAAGGGAAAGGAAACCAAGGGGGATGGGATATTCTCACGGCACTTTTCCTGCTGAGGTGCGGCAGCCTCAGGGGACCTAGGCAGCAGGGGTGGAGGCCGTGGCTTTAACATCCAAGGTATGTGGATGCATAAATCTGAGCTCTCCAGTGAATCAGCGCATCTGTGAAAAGACTAGAAAAAGCTGTCCATAACAGTGAAGGAAGTAAAAGTCGCCTTGCCATCTCTTTGAAGCTCTTGAGTGAGAAATTAAAACCTAAATGAATATCCGGGCACCTGGGTGGGTTAGTCGGCCAAGTGTCCAACTTCGGCTCAGGTCATGATCTCACAGTTTGTGGGTTAGAGCCCCACGGCAGGCTCACTGCTATCAGTCACTGCAGAGTCTGCTTCGGATCCTCTGTTCTCCTCGCTCAGCTTGTGGGGCTGAGCCCCTTCCCAGCCCCTTCCCAGCTTGTGCTCTCCGCCCCCCAAAATAAATAGTTTTTAAAAACCTAAATGAGTATGGAAGTCCAAATGTACACTAAATGGCGTGGCAAAGTCAGTCACATTTTTTTTTTTTTTCATACAGAAACTGGTACCTTGGGAGTACCTTGGGAACCACAGAAGAAGCTAACTCAACCCCACTGTAGGAACATTCCTATAGCCCAGTGTGCTTGGGGGCCCCATGCTTTAGGGGGGAAAACAACCTCTGCTGAGTATTAGCTCAGACTCAGAAGTTACAAACAGCACAAGGAAGAAATCCACCATGAGGTCAGCACACACAGCAACCAGACGTATGTGAATCCCAACAAAGACTGGGGGGAGGAGGCAAGGCAGAGAATAATCTGAAAGATGGTGGGTTTGAAATTATTAAATATAGAAGTTTTTTTTTTAAGTCCTAACAGAAGAATGAGATATTATGATAAAAATGAACGGGCAGAATTTTTAAATGGCCAGGTGGATATAAGAACTGGAATAGATTAAATGAGAGCATAACACTAAATATTACTAATGAAAGAATAAATGAGCTGGAAAATAGATCTGCGGGAAGCATCTAACCACAGGACAGAGTGATAAAGGAATGGAAAATACTAAAGCAAAGTGAATAACCTAGAGAACAGAATGAGAAGGTTTAGAATACTTAAAACACAATCAGAAGAAAAGAGAATTGTCGCGTGTCCTTAGGGGCTTGCAGCTCAGAGCAGTGTGATGCCACTACGCACCTTATTAGAACGGCTAAAACCCGAAACACTGACAACACTGATAAATGCTGGTGAGGCTGTAGAGTGACGGGAGCTCAACAGGGGACACGAAATGGCACGGCCACTTCGGAAGAGGGCTTGGCAGTTGCCCACGAGGCTAAACATCTTTTTTTTTTTTTTAATTTTTTTTTGTCAACGTTTATTTATTTTTGGGACAGAGGGAGACAGCATGAACGGGGGAGGGGCAGAGAGAGAGGGAGACACAGAATCGGAAACAGGCTCCAGGCTCTGAGCCATCAGCCCAGAGCCTGACGCGGGGCTCGAACTCACGGACCGCGAGATCGTGACCTGGCTGAAGTCGGATGCTTAACCGACTGCGCCACCCAGGTGCCCCAGAGGCTAAACATCTTCTTACCACACAATCCTACCATCGTGCTCCTAGGTCTTTACCCAAATGAGCTGGAAACATACGTCCACACAAAACCTGCACACAGATGTTTATGTAAAGCGGCATTATTCGTAATTGCCCCAACTTGGAAGCAGCCGAAATATCATTCAGTAGGGGAATGAGCAAACTGTGCATCTATGCAATGGCATATTATTCACAAATAAAAGCAAGCTGTCAAGCCACGGAAGGACGTGGAGGATCTTAAATGCATATTGTTCTTAGCACTAGCCCTGCACTGTAGCCACTGCTGACCAGGAGCTTAAAGGAAGGATCCAAAAGATCTCTGAAGTGCCCATCATGTGCATTTCCAGCCATAAGTACAACATGGAACAGACGCCAGATGCTTACGAAGCCCCTCGGTTCTAATTCTGAATAGAGCTCCTCTGCCTTCATTTATCAACTTTTACTGCTGCCAGTTCGTATAGCAATATGCTCCAGCTTGAATTATTCCACTTACCCATTTGCTCTGTTATGGGCTGAGTATGGTTAAATACACTCACTTTTTGACATTTTGAAATTGATATTTTGTATCATTTTAAATTTTGTTGCATCTTTTTATAAATCAGATGACTGCCCACATTTAAAAAAGATGCATGTTGGGGCAGCTGGGTGGCTCAGTCGGTTGAGTGTCCGACTTCAGCTCAGGTCATGATCTCACGGTTCGTGAGTTCGAGCCCCATGTCGGGCTCTGTGCTGACAGCTCAGAACCTGGAGCCTGCTTCCAATTCTGTGTCTCCCTCTCTCTTGGTCCCTCTCCCCCTCATGCTCTGTCTCTTTCTCTCAAAAATAAATAAATGTTAAAAAATTTTTTTTAATTAAAAAAATATAAATAAATAAAAAATATGCATGTTGTTACTGTGAAAGAAACCTGTCTGAAAAGGCTACTGTGTGCATTATGGTTCCAACTATGGGATGTTCTGGAAAGGGCAGCACTATAGAGACCATTAAAAGATCAGTGCTTGTCAGGAGTTGGGATGGGGCATGAGGAGAGGTGAATCGGGGGCACACGGGAATTTTAGGGCAGTGAAACTATTCTATACGATACTGTAATGGCAGATACCATGGCATTAAGCATTGGGCAAAACCCACAAAACCATACAACACAAAGCGTGAACCGTAATGTGAAGTGTGGAATTAATAATAATGTATCAATACCTGTTCATGAATTGTTAAAAAAAAAATTACCACCCCAGTGCCAGATGTTAATAGAGGAAACTGAGGCAGGTTGGGAGGGGGGATGAGAGAAGGAGTGTATGGGAACTTCCTATACCCACTGTACTTCTCAACTTTTCTGTAACCCTAAAATTACTCTAAAAAGTACATTCTATTAAGTTTTTAAAAATGGGAGGCGAGAGGGAGAGTCGATATTCAAAGTAAGGATGGGTGAGATTTTTCCAGAATTAAAGTTGTAAGTCACACGTCAAAGAACGCCACTGGGTCACAGAGCAGAAAAAATCCTAAAGCAAATCCACATTTCAATTGCACACCGAAGACCAAATGAAAGCCTCAAAAACAATCAGAGAAAAAGCACAGAGTGCATAGAAGGTAGCAACAGTTAGATTACTCGCCGACTTCTCAACGACTATAATCCAGATCAGAAGAAAACTCAGTAACATCTTCAAAAGGTCCAGAAAAAAATCATTATCCACCTAGATTGCTCTGTTCAGCCAAATCATTCGAGAGTGAGAAAGAAAGCAACTTGAAAGCATTAATTGTGCTAACCTCTTCAAAAGGGAATCAAAGAAACATTTGCAGTATTTACTTTTCTCTGCCTGTTTCATATTATATCTTAGATAACACACACATGCCCCAAAATCATACTTTCCGTTTAACATTATATACGTCTTCTGTGATTTTCACTGTCCTTGAAGGTAATGTTTAAAGTCTGAATCGTAGCGTAAGTGCCATAGTTTCGTGAACTGCTAGACAGTTTAATTGCTAGACGTTTAGATCAGAGAATTTCCTCCTAAATGGCAATTGGATGAAATGCACATAAAAGATAAAATAATGCTACGCACGCCTACTTTTTCTTTTCCATTGAAAACTCCACCTGCTTCTCTAGCTGCCTGCTCAAGTGGCGAGGTGTTTAGTTTGCAAGGAGCCATTCAGAGCTGATCGAGAAGCCTCTTTTCCATTCGTGCTTTTTGCCCCAAGTGCACTGGTGGTGGGTGACTTCCTGGAATAGCCCCAGATGTTCTAAAGGAAAATGAAAGAAGCAACATATATTCGAGGACTGCCGTGTGCCAGGCATGGTGCTGGGCGTTTCCATCCTGTGAACACTACTATTTATGAACACTTACCATAAGCCGGGCACTACCTTTAGAAAGTTTGCACCCATCAGCTCATTTGGTCCTCCCCAGAAGTCTAGGAAGTATGCACTATTATTATATCCATTTTATAGACAGGAGAGATGTAGTTCTGAAGGAGCTAGGAAGTGATGAAGTCGTACCCGGAACATGAGCCTTTCCATGGTAGGGCCCTATTCCAGGCTTGGGTGGGTGTCAGAGACACAGGTAGAGAAAAGCAGGAAGGGCAGAACGCAATGACACTAAAACAAAAACAAAAACATGACCCGGACTGAACGTAGCTATCCATTATCTCACTTCATCCTCCTCACGAGACCAGGTAGGTATTGTTACCGTTATTAGCTTCGCCCATCGAGTGAGCGCACGCAGACATGGTGCGCTCAGGAACTTGCCTGCAGGTTGCATGTCCAGCTGTGGGTCACCCGCGTGTGTCCAGAACCAGAGTGCATGCCGTGCTCCTCACTGCCTGTGGCTCTTGTCCTCTGTCCAGGCGAGATGGAGGAGCTGGAGACACTGTGGCTCACGGGGATCTGCCACAACGAGAAGAACGAGGTGATGAGCAGTCAGCTGGACATCGACAACATGGCGGGCGTGTTCTACATGCTGGCGGCTGCCATGGCCCTCAGCCTCATCACCTTCATCTGGGAACACCTCTTCTACTGGAAGCTGCGCTTCTGTTTCACGGGCGTGTGCTCCGACCGGCCGGGGCTGCTGTTCTCCATCAGCAGGGTCAGTACCTCGGGCGGCTCGTTCTCGATGCAGCGGCAGGTCCAGAAGAGCACGGGGCTCCCAGAGAACCGAGGACGCTGGACTCCTGGGTGGGGGGCGGTCTGCACATCCTGCCCTCCCTCACCAACCCCTGGTGGGCTTGTCGTAAAGGCATCCAGATTCTGTGTGTTCCTAACCCAGGGGTAGCGAACCCAGGTGACCGCAGAAGCCAGAGAGGGAAGGAAAATGGGTAATGCAGGCTGGGCATGAGAAAAATAGCACCAGTGAGATAAAAACAGCAAATGTCCCTGGGGTTCAAGGTGAGGGAACACTTGAGAATGCCTACCACACCCGGAGGGGGCAGTCCTCAGGTCCTGCTGAGTATGGTCTTATGGGAATTCAAGGGCAATACTATCAGGTCTTGTAGGTTGTCAGAGAGAAAGTAGTCATCTGATTTTATGTGAAGCCTTTCCACTCTTTAAATATTAGTAACTAATTCCTTTTTTTTTTTTTTATACAACACCAAAATACCACGTAGGCCAAACGAAGTAGTCTGTGGCATCCACCGTTAGCAGCCGATGTGCTTTACGACACGACTACCATTCCTGTGCAGGATGTTACAGTTGATGCACACATCCCCCTGGGACACATATGCCAAAACCAAATATACATCCCATGCCATGCTCTGCATCCGCACATCTAACAAAACACAAAGAGCGTCTGCATTACAACAGAGCCTCCAACGAAACAAAGACATGAAGGGCCACGAGGAAAGGCACACATGTCAAACAGAAAACAAAATACACATTCAACCCAGCATGAACTACAGCCACAAACACACATGCTATAACGAACTCACCCACAATGCAAGGAAAACCCCTCTCCTGTTACGCAATGTGGCATGTGTATATTACCATAAAAAAGCACATATGGGTCATCAGTAATAGCAACGATCATGGAAAATGCCTGTATTTGTGCAGCACAGATAGGTGCCGAGCACCCTGTACGGACTTCATCCTCTTCATCTCATTTCACCTACAAGCCATTTCTGTGAGGCGTGTAACTGTTCTTCATCCCAGATTACAGATGGGGAATGAGGTTAGAGGATCATCCACGGCTGCCCAGCCTTGGTGGAGCCGGGACTTGAGCCGAGGTGGTGTGGTACCAGCCAGAGCACAGGTTCCTACACAAGCAACAAACATCAAATACAAGCAACACAAGAGATTTGATACAGATCATACTACATGACACGTATGTGCACGCAACTGACATGATCTTATCACTTACATCATATGTACATATCATTCACTCATCTTCTAACAGAATATAACATCTATTTACCTCACAGCCCATCAGTCATTCCTCCCTCCATCTGCCTAGTTCATCCATCCATCCATCCGTTTCACCCGTACATCCATTCATTTCATCCATCCATCCGTCCATCTATCCATTCACCCACCCATCCATCCATCCGTCCATCCACTCACCCATTTCACCCATACATCCATTCATCTCATCCACCCACCTGTTTTATCTATCCATCTACCCATTTCATTCATCCATCTGTACATCCATCCCTACACCCATTTACCTATCCATCCATCCATCCATCCATCCGGTCCATTTATTTATCTACCTATTTCTCCCATTTACTCACCTTGGAATGTTTTCACTCTGAAAGAATTTAATGAATTGAGACATGAAACATGGTGAAAAACACTTGGGTACAAACACCTGGTTTTATATGCTAATGGTTATTGGGAAAACTAAATAATCATTTTTAAAGGAATTTGTGTTTTCTTAGCATTTGGTGATTTTAAGAACTTTGGAGATTCAGAAGGCACATATTAGCTTAGTGAGGAAGATTTATTTTTTTCTGTTCAGTGGCACTCTTAACTTGCATTCTGTGCAAATACATATTTCCTCATTAACTTGATGGCATCTAAACACAGACTGCTTAAAAATAACAATGTGCACGCATCTCGCTAGGTATTATGCCAACTTTAAGCTAATTCTCTCCACCAATTACTAAAGGCTTTCCATACCCAAATGACTCTGGGATTATCATGAGCAAATGCACACTGTTGCATTTCCTTGTAAATCCTGCTTGGATCTGGAAGAGCGTTTCCTCTGAGATACCATTAAGGCAGCCAGTTGAGAGGACTGTCATTATGAGGCATGAACTAAATCCCCCACTTCCCTTGCAAGCATCTTGAGCAGGAATGGGGGGCAGTGGGGCACACAGGAGTAGGCATCGTCAGCTTTACAGGCTGGAATCTGAACTTCAGTCTCCCCTCCCTGGGCGAGAGAGGACCCGTGCCTCACAGGAGCACTGCAAGGACTTTTGTGCCCCTTGGGGACTCCCATCCACCAGCATCCCTGTGTCCTCAAAGGCTGCAGGGAATGCTACTTGAGCACTGACCCTCCTTCTCCCCAGATACTATGTTTTAAATAAGTGCAGCCCTAATATGTGTGAAGAGAAGGATTTCATATTTAATATACTTTTCCTGCCTCTCTCATTTGTTAGGGAACTCAGAATGAGCTCAGCACCCAATTTCACGCATAGCAGGGCTTTCAGATTGCTCAAGAAAAATGTTCCTCCTTTCTGATCAAGGGCTAACACACATCTCTTAAATTCGTCTTATGGGCACGTTCACGCACATGCCAGCTTACATGTATATTCTTCACACCGAGCAGGCCATACACACAGAAACAGAAGCGCCCTCGTTGTAGGCACGTAAACATTTTCTTTAACAAACCTGCAGTGGGGAATCCCCAAGCCAACAACCCACTTTCCTACCAAGCCAAGATCACAACCCCACAACGAATCATGCCCAGCATGTGAATAAGGGCCAGGTGACTGACGTCTCCCTGTCATCTCTAATCCTGACAGCACCTGTGTGTGACATGACCACACCCATCCTATGGATATGGAGAAACTGAGGCCGAGAAGGGCGGAACAGGACCCTTTCGGCCTCACGTTAGGTCTCCTGCTTCACCTATCATGCCAGAACAAGGCAGGAAAGAGGAGGACTGTCTTGTGCACCGGGCTGGGTCACATGCTTCCGCCCATTTCTGAGTGTAGGAACGTGGATCCAGGATGCTCTGAAATGTGCCTGCACCCGAGGCAGGTGTTTTCCTGCACAGCAGCCAGGGGTCTCCACTCACCAGTTCTGGTAGCACCTTCAACACCCAGCCTATGGACCTAGCTGTTGCCACGCAGCAGACACATGCAGCTGTCCCCGTGGGCTCGATGTCCCTCGGAAAGCTCCTGGATAGTGCAGCAAAATACAGACTGGACATATGGACACTCCTGGCCTGCCAAGGGGGCGGGCCAGAGCTTGAAGAAGTCATTCACTTCACATGAGAACCCAGTTTCTCCCACAGTCGGGGCCTTTGGCTTTTCCGGGTTAAAAAATAAATGTGCCCTCTAGTCTCCAGGAGGCTCTTAATTTTTCTCTCCACAATGTTCTCCCTCTCCCCTAGAAGAAAATAGTCAGTGTCACCAGCAAAAAGAACCCACCTCGGTTTTCGGCCATGAGGAATTGGAGACGTGGCAAAGACAGAGACCACGGGATGGAGACTGTGGCAGCCTGTCCCGTGGGCTCCCTGGAGGGGATCCTGGGGACAGTGATGGGCTTCTGGCTCCCCCACAGTCAGGACCAAGAGAGCAGAAGTAGATACTGCCTCAGTCTGCCAGGGCCGCCATCACCAAACACCACACACTGGGTGGCTTGTGACCAACAGACACCTACTTCTCATGGTTCTGGAGGCTGGGAGTGTGAAATCAGGGTGCAGCGTGGTCAAGTGAGAGTCCCCTTCTGGGTCATAAGGCTTCTCCTTGTGTCCTCACGACGTGGAAGGGCCGTGGGCAATGTGGGGCCTCTCTTACGAGGGCAGTCATCTGCCTGGCCAGCGCCCCACCATTATGACCTAACCCCCTCCCAAAGGCCCCACCTCTTAACACCATCAACTTTTAGGGTCGGGATCTCATTATGTGAATTTGTTGGCGGGACACAGGCGTGTAGGCCTTGGAAGATACATCAGGGGTCAAGCCCAGACTCCAGGGAACCACAGAGGGCAGTAGGGTGCATGCCCCATCAGGAGTTGTTCTGAGGGGTCAGGGGCCCTTGAGGAGAGCCACGGCAGGGCCGAGGGAGGGTCTGGGCTGCTGTCCGAGGAGAACGAACCTTCGGTAGTAAAGGGTAGCATGCGTCTTCTTGCAGCCGTGGGAAAGTGTGCAGTGGGGTCTCGTGCTAGTGTGTGAGGGAGTAAACGGTGACAGAAAAGAAGGGCACCAGAAAAGGTGGGCACCCGGTCAGTTGACCCTTCGCCTTTGGCTCAGGTCATGATCTCACGGCTCATGGGTTCAAGCCCCGCGTCGGGCTCTGCTTGGGATTCTCTGGTGTCCCTCTCTCCCTGTGTCCCTCCCCACCCCTCAAAAATATATATTAAAACACATTTTTTTTAGGCTGCAGCAGCTTATCCAAGGTCACAGAGCTACTAACAGGTGGAGCTGGGACTCACTTCCAGTGGGTTCCAGGCTCCGGCTCTTTCCGTGTGTCTCTGATATGCACCCCCTCCTCCTCAGCAGCCCATCAAGAAGGTGGGTCAACTGAGTGGGAGAACACTAGCACCCAAGCCTGGGGTATGGGCTGGGTCCATCGCGTGGCCTCCTTTCCGAGGCTTCCCCCTGCACCCCAGCAGCTGGAAGTGCCTTCCCAGTATCCTGTGAGTCCTAGGGCAAACTGGGGAAGAGCGAAAGCAGTCAGCAGCCATCCTCCTGCTCCTGAAACATAACTCAGCCCCCTGACCACCTCTGTGGGCCCCCCTCAAACAGACAGCCAGCCCATCTCAGCTGGTTTTAACATATTGCTCTGTCAGGGAAGGGGGGGACAGAAGTTCTTAAAATCTCTAGCAGTGTGGGGGGAGCTCCTTAGAACAAAATGACAGATTTAGAAAAAAAAAATGTTTTTCAAGTAGGCTCCATACCCAATGTGGGGCTTGAACTCACGACCCTGATACCAAGAGTCGCGTACTCTACCGACTGAGCCAGTCGGGCGCCTGTAGAAAACAACAAAAATTAACTCCTATTTTTTTTGTAATACTGACAAAATGAAATCAAGGCACAGATCTGGGTTGATCCAAACGTACAGCAGATACACCAGTTTTCACCCACACAAGCCGAATCTCGCTGGGTCAGGGTGTAAGATTCCCATGTTACTGAGCTGGGTGGGAGGTGCGGGTTCACAGGCCAGGTTCAGAAGCACCGTGCTGTGAACTGCACAGTGCATTTGGGTGATCCCATCACCCAGCAGCCACAGGGGCGCACACTGGAGACCCTGCCTCCTGGCAGCAGGTAAGCAGGAACCACACGTGGCACAGAGATGCACAGAAACACTCTCTCTTACACACACACACAGACACGGAATATATTAAGCGGCATAAGCGAAAAGTCCCAAGTGGCGGCCCCAGGGGTTCCAACCATGTCCTGTCTCTCCATCCCCTGTACCGTGCTCCCTCCTATGATGGCTTCACTCTCAGGCTAACATCCCCACATGGTGACAAGACTAGTTCCCCGCGTCTGCTCCTTTTATTCCAGCTTCTGTATCTATCCTTGCCCAAAATGTGTGATTGATCACCCATGGATTTGATGTCCGCCCTTAGAGTGACCACAAAGGGTTTTCTGGTTGACCTGCTTGGGTCTCGTGCCTTGACGGACAGCTTCAGTGTGTTGCTGGGGCAGCTCCCCTGAAGAATTAATAATGGGTGGTCCTTTTATGCCAGTTTATTCTATTTTTTAATGCTTTTTAATTCATTTTTGAGAGAGAGAGAGAGAGAGAGAGAGAGAG